GTAAGCTGCACAGTTCTGATAGACCTCGGCCACCTAAGAAACACGTCTGGGTTTGGTCCATAGTGGAAAGAGGTGGCCACCCTTCGTACGCAGCTACGTCCTTTCAGTGCTGAAATGTGGAACGAGTGGGAATCTGCGACGGAGATGCCTGGCGAGCGGAGGCACTTGCTCCTAGTGGCTCTGGTATAAACCTCCTCGTGATGGCCCGGGGCCATCACGAGGAGGTTCGTGGGTCGTGACGTCGGGCCCCGCCTGCTTCCTGCGTGCGCTCGCGGCTGGGCCTGGTGGGGCCTCTACCTACGCGGCCCGAACTCGTGGTCACTGGGCCTGGGAGCGTCCGCAGACTTTCCCCGGCGTACGCATGCACGTGTGCACTTTCATTCGCGGCGACTGCGAGAGGCACACGCCCGTGCCTCCTGCCTGCTTTGTGCGCTGTGCCCCGTTGCATCGACGTGGAGCACGAGGACAGACGTGGAGAAGAGAGGGCTCGCTTCCAGTTGTCCTGGAAGCCTGCGTGTGGATGACGCCGCACGCGCCCGGTGACGGCGGTGGCCACCGTCCAGCCACGGCGGCAGGCCGAGCGGCAGCGCTGGGTGGGCTCGAGCCCGGCGAGTTGCCTTCGCGAACCGCCGCCGTGCACCGGTGACGTCTTCAACCGTTAAGGAGACTCGACATCGTGGCAGATTCAGCCGTTTAGTGGGCGACTTCCCCGTGGTGGGCCACCGGGTGGGGAAACCACTGCCCCGCGTCACTACGCCTCGCAGAAGATTCAGGGTTAAAGTCACATCGACTCCTGACGCGCGAACCGAACGCCGTAAGCTCACTCGCAAATCCTTAACCGCTGGGTCTGTACCCTGACCTCGTGTCTTATCTGTGACCTCCGTATGACCTCTCGCACAGCCTGGCCCCGGGAGCCGTGGAAAATAGCGGCTGTTGCTTTGGGGGTGTGCAGTGCGTGCGTGCGCGCTGCCCGTTGTGATTCTCTTTGCTTGTGAGGACACAAATTTCCCACCGCAAAAGAAAAAACAAAAGCCGCACCAGCTTAACACGTTCAGGCTGCTGGCCCGACTCGCATTTTGCATGCCCCGCCGACTTTGTGTGTGTGAGAGAATTTGCAGACTCCGTGTGAAGCTTCGTGATGAAACGCTCGGACGTTTAGGCACTCGAGCGATGAGCAGTGGGGGTGGTTGTTGTTGTAGACGCAGCAGCAGCAGCGTTTGCTTCTCTCGTGGATTCCACGGCTGTCTCGGTTGTTGACTAAAACTCCCGTGGCGCTCGAGTACAACACGACATGAGTCATCCTGTAAATGGTAGAAGTCCGCTTCGAGATGCATTTGTCATAACTGATGGTCGATAAGGGCGCTGTGGTGACACATAAACCGCACGGGGATCCAGGTGCCATGGTGGCGAGGTGTTAACTACCTCACCTGGTACACAGGAGGTCGTGGGTTCGATCCTGACGGCCTGCTGTTGTATATTTGGAGTTTGCGGTGTCTCTCTCATACTCTCCAGGTCCTCCAGTTTTTCCCTCCACATTGAGAATCAACGTCACGCGTTTAGAGTGTTTGGCTACTGGAAATGTCCACGCGATGATGATAAGCCACTTCGTTGAGCTCTCATTTGTGACAGCCAGGTCGCTTCTGAAAAAGAGCTGTGACCCTTACCTGGTGAAATTTTAAATTAGTTTAATTTGTTTTTCAGATGACAAAAAGCATCGCAAAGTTAAATTTCAGTGGTGTGATCTCAAAGGACCACTCGCTCGTGAGTCGATTGTCAAAGTAGAAACATCCAACCGATGCCATAAATAAATGACCAAATTAATTACAAAAATATCCATGGAGAATTCGAGCATGAATAGCACGAACGCACTCGACTCCTCAACCACACTTGCCGAAGCACACGGAAGCCTCGTGGCCAGCCACGTTTCAAGGGTCACTTCACGGTGGCCACTATGCCATGGGGTCACCTCGCTGGCTGCTGATTGGCCGTCGGCAGTGGCAGTGATGAGGTTCAGCTCCGAGCAGCCGCTGCTTCCCACGGGGTTGGCGATCTCAGAATCAGAATATTTATAGTGGAGGAATCCGATGAGCTATGAAGCTCTTTTTCACAGACGTCCTGTCAGGGCACGGAATAAGAACGTCACAACAACAACAAGCAGTACACAAACACGATAGGAGTGCAAAGTTAAATAACGGTAAACGAATCACCCAAACAGACAAATACAACTAAACCATCCCCATCCTACGAGACAAAGTCCACTGAGGTATTCACTTATATTTCAAAATCAACAAAGTGGCTTATCATTTGGACAATTATAGCAATAATCTAAACGCATATCCAGGCAGGACACTTGCATGTACTAGTGACTTCACGATCCGTTTTTACGGATCGTTCAGGGTCTCTCTACGAAATCGCAGACCGCGGGACAAATGTTGAACGCGTTTTCTGTGCGCTGGTGTCCCCCCCGACCCCGCACCACCTCCCAACGACGTCCCCTAGCCGTGTGAAGTGGCCCTGGGAGCGGCCCTGGGAAGATCGTGGGGCCGCTCCTTCAGGCGCCTTGCCCAGCGGCATGGGGGTGGGGGGCACGAGGCCGTGATCAGTCGCCTCCACTTCTTCCTGTCCTTGGCCACGTGTTGAGCTTCGCCCCGAGAGAGGTCGATCGCTCACACCGGCTCGGCCTTCACGGCCTTGCACCACGCGGTCTCGGGCAGGGCCGTGTTCTCCAATAGGCCACAGTAGGCACTGTGCCTAGGGGCCTACACCCTCACCCAGCCACCCACTCACCCCTTCACCCACTCACTCAACCAGCCACCCACTCACCCCTTCACCCACACTCTCACCCACTCACCCAGCCACCCACACCCTCACCCACTCACTCACCCAGCCACCCACCCCTTCACCCACCCACTCGCTCACCCAGCCACCCACTTACCCCTTCACCCACACCCTCACCCACTCACCCAGCCACCCACACCCTCACCCACTCGCTCACCCACCCACTCATTCACCCATTCATCCACTCACCCACTCGCTAATTCACTCACCTGCTTATTCACCCACTCACCCACTCGCTCACCCACTCACAGATTCACCCACTCACTCGCTCACCCAGTACCTCCAAATATTTTTGAGTATACGATCCCCTGGTCCATTCTGAGAACGCGTCCGAGCCATCCGAGTTGTCCGCCCCCACGGTGGACGCTAAACGTCCACGGCGTGATTTGGAGGAGAGTATTCGGCCGATGGTTGTGTGTGCCGCCGCCGGCGTCGTGGGCCGAATTTGAAGAATTACGAATCCGTCAATTGAGAAATTATGGGGGACTGTTACCCCCCACCCACCCCCCTCCCCTTACTGCGGTAACTCGTCGTGACCGTCCGGACATAAAGGGTCTTGAGGACTCGAGGCTTTCCTGACCTGGTGCCGTGTTGAACCCGATGTTGAACCCGGAATTGAAGCTGGCGCTGAACCCGGAGGCGCTGAGGTGCGCAGGGCCGCGGTGTGACGCCGGCCGTGTTCACGTGAGAGCAGTGGTGGCCAATTCGTGGATCGCAAAATCTGTCTTTTGTGGATCTCTGAAACGCAAACAGACGACTCTACCGTTCCGGCCGACGTGCAAATACAAATTCCCACCATACTTAAGAATTCGTTAAAATAATAATTTATTGACTTAAAGCTTTCGTGATTGCAGGAATTCATACTCTTTGGGTCTGCTGTATTTTTTCACCTGAAGACGATTGCTTGTGTTGCGATCGAAACGTCGTGATTTTTTTTTATTTTTCTATCTCTGTGACTTTACCGAAAGACCCAAATAGTATAATAATTTCTAGCAATAGGTGGCGCTGTGTAGTTTGCACAGGGAATGCTCTACTTACGAACATTCGACTTATGAACTTTTATAGATACGAACAAACCTGTCCGTATGTCCAGTTGCCTCTGTTCGGACCAAGAATCGTAGGTTTAACCGCCACACAACAGATGGCGGTGGTAGCATCAGCATCTACAGGACATGAAGAACGAGATCCACCAGAGTGGCCACGCAGTGCTTGCGTGGATTGGCCACCGCTGCTGTGAAGCGGAGATGGGCGTGTCGTGAGCCGAGTGACGCGCAACTCTTCTGGTTGGGGGGGGGGGGTCACGTGACTTGTGCAGTGGTGGAGAGAGGCAGTGGGCACCAGGGTAGATCAGTATCTCACCTAGCGTCACACCACACCACTAGCGCCACACCACACCACTAGCGTCACACCACACCACTAGCGTCACACCACACCACTAGCGTCACACCACACCTAGCATCACACCACACCACTAGCGTCACACCACACCTAGCGTCACACTACCACTAACTTCACGCCATGCCCTCCCGTCAAACCACACCTAGCGTCACACCTCACCACTAGCATCACACCACACCTAGCGTCACACCTCACCTAGCGTCACACCTCACCACTAGCGTCACACCTCACCACTAGCGTCACGCCACACCTAGCATCACACCTCACCACTAGCGTCACACCACACCTAGCGTCACACCACACCTAGCGTCACACCACACCTAACGTCATACCACACCTAGTGTCACACCTCACCTAGCGTCACATCACACCTAGCGTCACACCACACCTAGCGTCACATCACCTAGCGTCACACTACCACTAACACACGCCATGCCCTCTCGTCACACCACACCTAGCGTCACACCTCACCACTAGTATCACACCACACCTAGCGTCACACCTCACCTAGCGTCACACTACCACTAACTTCACGCCATGCACTCCCATCACACCAGTGCACAGCGGTGCGTCCTCACCGCAGTCTCTAAAGTGGAGTAAGCGAGTTATTAAAAAAACGACTGCGACAATAAAATGACGGAACAAAGTGTGTCTCGCGTTCGGTGCTTCCCGTAGGAAGGAGAACACCAAACCACGTGCCAGTGGGGCGAAGTGGGCATCGCGGAGAGACACGGAGAGACGCCTCCACACCGAGTCGACGTTCC